GGGGGGGGGGCCCTAGAATTTTTCATGCAGCTGACTGTTGGTGAACCGAAGTGACATTTTAATCGCAGGCTGGCTCCCTTCGCCTTCCTGCTTCACTTCCCTCTATAGCTGAGTCTGGATACAAATTAAGTTCTAAATCCTCTTGAGCCAGCTGTCTGCAGAAAAATAACGTGCTGCACATGCCCTCACCCCAGTTGTGGTGTTTGTGTTCTCTGAGGCTTGAGGAGGCCTGGCCAGGGCCGACTGGATAGAGTGGCCCTCACTAAGCCCACTCTCTGTAGGGGCGGGGGGCTCTTGGGATGAGGGACCTCTTTCCACAAAGTCCTGCCAGCCTTGAATGTCCCCTTTCATCTCCCTCACCTCCTCACCATGAAGAGCCCAAAATCATGTGTGAAGGAGGCTGCGGTCCTTTCAGGCTTCATTTCAGGGAAAATCTCGGGATTAGTCATGGAAATCCCAGAACCAACTCTGGAGGTGGCTAGGGGAGGGGCGAGAAGGCGGAGGAGAAGAAAGCCAAGATGCGTCGCAGTCCGTTGCAGCTGGGACAGGAATACCCGGATCTTAGGCTGCCGTTGGTCCTGGGGTCTGGCTCGTGGTGGCCTGTGCTGCCCCTGCAGGCCGACCTGGGATGGCAGCCTTGCTCCCCAGGCATTATCCTAGTCTGCGATTCCTGTTGCTCCCATCCTGGCCCGTCCCCTGCCCCCACCCCAGACCTGGGAGGAGGCCACCTGGTATTCAGGCTGCCAAGAGAACGACTCACAAGTCTCTCTGCCCCCAGCCACCCGGAGGAAGCTGTTTGAACTTGCCCGGGCTTTCTCTGAGAAGACCAAAATGAGGAAGTCAAAGAGGAAACACTTGTTGAAGCATCAGTCGTATCCTTTCCAGTCTGGCACTGTGGGGGTGGGGAAACCAAGGACCACGGAGCAAGACCTTGGGCTATGCCCCCCCACTAGGAGTGTGACTAGGCTCGGTGACCTCCCTGCCCTCCATGAGCCAGGCCATTAGCCCACTGTCCGTCTCTCGGTGCCAAGCAGGGATCAGGCCAGTGGCTCCTGTCTTCCTTCTGCAGTCTCAGAAGTTGTCCTACAACTTTGGTTGGGAGGGGTTTGGGGTAATCTATATCTTGGGAGATAAATTGGTTCTTCCGTCCAAATCAGCAACCCTTTCCCTAATTTCTCTAGTTGAACTAGTCCAGATCCTCCCACCTCATTTAAAGCATGTTAGCCCTACCTTGTCACTTTCCGTTCAGTAGAAATAAGGGTTTTCACATTTTTACCCAGACTTCCATCCATGGATGAAAGGGCTCAGGATGTTAGATGCTCAACAGCCAACGGGAGCAGGGAGAAGGTCACTTCTCTGTCCCCAGGGTTGAGAGCAGGATAAGTGTGTCAGGGTCTGGCTGCATAGCTGACTCCAAGAAAAGGAGCTGGGGGACAGTATCTGGGAATGTTGGGGGGCCAGGTGGGTGTGGTGGATGGCTCCTGAGCTTGGAGAGGTGGGGCAGGGAGCAGGTGGGATAAGACAGTGCTCACCCATTGCTGAGACAGTTTTCCTGAATGGCCCGACAGGCTGGGGGCTGCTGCCTCAACAGCCAATCTCCTGGATGATGTGGAAGGCCACGCTTGTGGTGAGGCACAAGGGGAATCTTAAGCTCCAACTTTCCTGTGATGGGTGATCTCCAAGAGGATGTCCTGGGGATTTCATGGGTGGACCCAATCTGGGGGACACATTGAGGGTTGGTGGGCAGAAGAACCAAAGACATGGATCCTCCCCACTTGGTCCCCATTGCCTCTCCCTTCCTGCAACCCCTAAAAGGGGCCCTAGTCCCACTTCCACCTAGATCTCTATCTGTAGCACAAAGTACCAGGTACTCTTCCTGGGGAATATTCTCTGGGGTGTGAGGCAGCAGACAGGCCTACCCAGTGGGAGGGGCCTCAATTTGAAGGGGTCTTATGCCACAGAGCAGGAGGGGCCAATCGAGGGCCAGGAGACATCCAGAAACAAGAACTAGAAGGGCCCCGGAGGTCATCCATTCCATTTTATAGATCAGGAAACTAAGACCCAAAGAAGAGGGAAGAACTTGTCCGAGGTCTCAGAACTCAGTGACGGAGCCAGGCCAGCACCTGCATATCCTGCTGTCTCTTGCACTGGACCCATGCATTGCTCACCTGGGGATCAGCATGTGCCCCAAATGAAAGGGGCAGAGGGAGTCAGGTCAGCTCTCTCACCAGTCTGGGAGACATGCCTGGTGAGTCCTACAGGGTGGAGGGTGAGGCAGCTTTCCTCTGCTTTTCAGATGAGGACTTCCGGGGAAGGCGGCAGGAGGCGCCCAAGGTGGAGGAAGCCCTCAGAGAAGGACAGTAAGAGGTGAGGCCTGGAGCCACAGCTGCCAGGGAATGGCCCAAGGCCAGGCCATTCCACACCCCGTGTGTCTTCCCAGGTGTTTGGGGAGCTGGGTCCAAGCCACTGGATAGCGTGGGTCCTGAGTCTCTGCCCCTGTGGTTGTGGCAGGAACGCGGGTTTCTGCATGGAAACTAGTCCTCTGCATGTCTTCTCTTTGGTTATTTATTCACTTGAAGATAATCACACCTGTCTAAAACAGACGCGAGAACAGGAAAACAAAATCACCTTTGACCTTGAATCCTTTATAGCCCAGTTGAGGAGGGAGTCCTGTATACACATAGCACTTGGAGAGGGCAATTTAAGAAAAACAGGTGGCCCCAGTGCAGCCATGCACACACAGAGCTCCCTCCAGCCCCCTGCTTGGGTTAGGTGATTTTCGTTCTCTCACGCCCAGATAAGGACACACCCCTGAGGTAACTGTCTGCTGGAGCCTGCACCCCACATCTCCATCCCTGTTTTTTCTCCTCTCTCCCTGTGCACCCTCTAGGGGAGAAACAGAATACCCCTGCCTCCTCCATCCCGGTCCCTCTTCCACTTTTCCTCCCCCATCTGGAGGCTGCCTGCCCGCCCTTCCCCAGCTGCTGGTCTGGTCCCAGTTGTCAGCATCTACAAGGCATTCTTGAGTTGATGATGGCTTTGTTTCAGACTAGGGAGAAATACTTGCCACCCTCAGCTGGTCATAGTGGAGGTGAGATAAACCAGGAACAAGAAAATACAAGCACCCCCTCCTCTTCGCCTGGGCAGCAGCCCTCACACCCTCTCTACCTGCCTCCCTACCACATCTCTCAGTAGGCTACTTCCAGCCTTCCATTCTTCTGTGGCCTTCCTCACACACGAAGCTGTGTCCCACTTCCCCAGGATGCCTAGATACAATCCTCCAGGGAATGCCTCCACTGCCACTCCATGTTGCTGGTGTTTCCACTCCCTCCTCCTTCCTGTTGGTCCCCAGGGAAAATGGTCCTGCCCAAAACACCCTCACATTGTAGGCTGGCAGCCCCTCCCCCTACCACCTGGATTGACTCCAGGAAGTCACCTGCCAACTCCAGGGCCTTATCCTAGTCTGCACAATAGACTATTGTTACCTAGGTACTAGCCCTAGTCTCTTCACCAGATCACTTCTTGAGTTCCATAACCAGTGCCCGTGGTCTTCCCGGAAGCTGCCCTCCACAGACCCCTGTTGCTCCTCCCACTCCCTAAATACCTGCTCTCTCTCTTGCTCTGCCCTTGACCCTCTTCACAGTCTTCTCACTCCCCACACTGGCAGCACACCACTTTCTTTTATGGCACCAGTGAAGCTCTGTACAGTTGGCTCCCAAATCTGAGTCTCTATTGCCCCTGGATCTGCCCTGTGTCCTCAGCTGCACCATTTGTCTTTCTAGCCTCAGATGTCAACTCACAGAGCCACAGTCCCTCTTCTGAATGCTTTATTTCATTTTTCTTCCTCATCTCCTATCACTGCCACAATAGACTATTATCACCTAGGTACTAGTCCTAATCTCTTCACCAGATCACCTCTCTTTTTTTTTTTTTTTGAGTTGGAGTCTCACTCCGTCGCCCAGACTGGAGTGCAGTGGCCACTCCCAGCCACCACAGCCTCGACCTGCGGGGCTCCGGTGATCCTTCTGCCTCAGCCTTCCAAGTAGCTGGAACTACAGGCGCGCGCTACCACACCCGGCTAATTTTTGATTTATTGTAGAGATGAGGTCTCGCCAAGTTGCCCAGGTGGGTCTCGAACCCGCGGGCTCAGGCAATCCATTCACCTCAGCCTCCCAAAGCATGGGATTACAGGCTAAGCCACCGAGCCCGGCTTCTCTTCCTTTTCTTCCGTTTCTCTTTGAGTGCATCTTCTGAGTAGAATCTTACAAACTCAGCCTGGTGTCTGGGGTTTACCAAGTTCTGGTCCCAATTTACTTTTCTTTTCTCCCTCAGGTGGAGTCCCTGACTCCCTCCCTTCCCCATCTCCCCTGCCAGGAGCTCCGCCTGGTCCCCTGTCCCCATCCCCATCCCCAGCTCTCTCTGGGCACCTGTGCTCTTTCTTCTCATGACCTCCTGCCTCTCAGCCTTTTCCAGGTCGCTAACCCTCTACAACCCAAGCATGGTGGGAGATTCCTGGGTGGTCATTTGGCATCCTCTGAGGAGTGATGGGCCACCCTGCAGATATCCTTGGTCTAGCCTCTCGGGGCCAGGCCCCCTGCCTTGAAGCCCTCCCCTACAGCTGCTTTCCCTGCACCCCAATTCCATCCCTCCATCTCCTGCTGCCAGAGTCCCTGCAGCTCTGCAAGCTGAAACATTTCTAGGAGTTTGGATGGGGAAAATGAGCCAGGCAGAGTTCTAAAGCTGATCTAAAGTCCCTGGAGAAAGGAGAGGGCTCCTGTCTTTGGTAGCTTCTGCCTGAAACTATCCCTCTAGCAGCCATTGATGGGGAAAGACCATTGGGCTCCTTTGACGAAGGCCTCTCCCATCATTTTTTCCTGCCAGATGTCAGCAGCTCCTCCTTGCCGGAGATGATCTGACCCGGTGGGGGCAGCCGGAGAGCAACACTAGCCCCCAGCTGAAGGGCCCAGCTGCAGCCGGACAGATGGTGCTTGAGAACCGAGGCCCAGGGATCCTCTGGCCACAGTCCAGCCCAGCCACTGCCACTTTCCATGGGACTAAGAACTTCGGAGTTGCCATCCTGCCATTGGAGGAAGGCCTGGGGCCCCAGAGGCAGCAGCAGGTCACAGCCTCTTTTGTGGCCAGGCTTTTCTGTGGGCCATGAGTGGAAATGCCGGAACCAACCTCCCTTCTTTAAAAAAATTCCAGAAAGCAGGCAAAAGTTGGAGTATGGGAAAGGTCAAGATGACCCCACTGGACGCTCTTTGGCCTGAAGATGGAGTCCCCGCCTCCCTGCCTTCTCCATCTTGCCTGCCACAGGCTCTGCCTGGTCCCCTGTCCCCATCCCCAGCTCCCTCTGGGCACTTGTGCCCTTTCTTCCCATGACCTCCTGCCCCTCAACCTTTCTTGGCCGCTGACCCTCGCACAACCTCTGTACGGTGGAAGATCCCTGGACGGTTGCTCAGCACCCTCTGAGGGGTGATGGGCCACTGCAAAGGGTATCTGGCAACTGCCCTGCCTGGGCCTGTGGTCCTGCTGTTGTCAGGGGCTGACCCAGCTCCCAGCGACTCCCCATCACCCAGCAGGGACGGGAGGGCAGCCACCCCTGAGCTGGAGGACGCTGGCTAGGCAGGGTCTTCAGCTTGGCAGAAGACAAAAGCCAGTTCTGGAGTCATGCCACAGTGGGGGCTCACAGGGAGTCTGAGTCCCCAGCTGGCCGGGTGGTCCTGCCGTCCTCTAAGGGTGGGCAGCCACGGGTTGAGTGGCCCCGTTGAGAAGGTGCAGAGCTGAAGAGCCCACTGCAGAGGCCTAAGGGCTTGCTGGTGCCTCTTGCGAGGAGGGAGGTGATTGACTGGAAGGAAAACTCCAAATCTACAGCCGCGTAGCACCAACCACTGCCAAGGGGAGGAGGCTGCCCAGTCTCTAGGCCCCGCCGTCCACGTGGGAACGCGTTGACCCTTCCAGAAAGCCGGGGCCCTGGGCACGCACGAGGCGGGACAGCTCAGCCGCTTCCAGGCCACGGCGTGGGGCTGGGAGGGTGAGAGTGGGACCCCGATAATGAGGGCATGGCGGAGGCTAGACGGCGATCGCACCTGGC